ATCTTACTCTGACACACCAGTCACTGAATAAGCCCATCTTTTCTGTGCTGTCTCTCCACCCTTCCAGGCATGATGTCCCTTTCCAAGTACTGGTCTCACCTTACAACATGCCCAAAGTATGCAGACGAAGCTTCAGAATCCTTGCCACCAAGGAGCAGTTTGGTTTTACCCTCTCTAAGTTGAACCTGTTTGTTCTCCTAACTATCCATGCTATATTCAATATGCTTCTCCAGCACCACAGCTCAAAGTCATCAATTCTCCTTCTATCATCCCTATTCATTGTCCATCTTTCTGATGCATAGCAAGTAATTGCAAAGACTATGGCCTTAATCAGGTACACCTTAGTCTTCAGACTTATATCATTGCTCTTCAGTACTTTGGAGAGGTCTCGGACAGCAGACTTCCCAATGCAATTAGTCTTTTAATTTCTTGTCTGCTGGTGCCAAGAGTGTTGATTGTGGAGCCAAGCAAACTAAAGCTGTTAACAATCTCAATCTCTTCACCATCTACCAAGACTCTGCCAATTGGCCCTGTAGTGAGAATCTTTGTTTTTTTGAGATTGAGCTTCAATCCATATTGAAGGCTGCAGTCCTTGATATTGCAATTATACCTTTTTAAATGCCTGGAGAAAATGATTAGAGACAAGACACATAAATAAGCACATGTACACACAGAAAGGGGAAGATGACTGCAGCCACAAGTGACTGTGGCGCTTTACTTTTATACCCTTTGTTCCCAGGAGCTCAAGGATAAGAACAAGGATTCCTGACAAATAAGCAAGAAAAATGAATAGCATACTGTGCACTATCGGTTCCTGATTAAAACTTGCTATTTCTAGTAAAACTGCCGAGAACAAAGAAGTGTTTGTATAGGAAGAGAGACTCCAAGTTCCTTGTCCGCGTGCAGAAATAGGGAAAAGGTCTCTTCCCACACTCTATCTTTTGGAAAGGTTCTTAGAGGACATTTGTGTGCAGACTGTCTCCCAAAATGGCTGTTCTTTGGCTCCATCACCTTGACCTTCAGCAATAAGCACTTCATATCCTCCTCTCTTTAGCAAGCAGGGTTGTATCATCTGCGCTCTACCCATGTTGTTGTTGTTGACTGCCATTGAGTCAAGTGCAACTCATAGAGTCTATGGACAAAATACCTAATGCCTTTCCATAGCTATCATCATTTCTCCAAGTTCATAGCGTTTCAATAGGCATGTGGTTTAAGAAGTGGATATCGCTTCTGCTTCCAAACTTGTTTTACAACTGGGAGCTCCAACAAACACTGTCTGCATCGGGAAACCATTATGGTATTTGATACCCCAATGGCACAAGGTTCAGCATCAGAGCAAACTCAGATTACCTCAGAACAGCAAATTGATGAAGAGTGATGTACAAACTAGAAGAATCTTCCTTCAAATATAACAACACCAGTCTCATTTAGCAGTGGTTAAGTGTTGTCAGGTCAAATACAACTCATAGCGACCCTATGATTAAAATACCTGAACTCTATTCTGTAATTAACATAATTTCTAGAGTTTCCAAAGGCAACTGGCAAGTGGATGCCACTCCTGCTTCCAAACCTGAACCAATCTGGAAGCTCCTCCAAACACTGTCCATGATGGGTAACCATTAAGATATTTGACACAACTATGGCACAGTGTTCAGCATCACAGAAACTCTAAGTTATTCAGTACAACAAATAGACATATGACTGCTATACCACTTAAAGAATGTTCATTTAAAAAAACTATTTTTAAAGACACACCCTTCAGCAGGCCTCTACCCTTCAGTCTTTGTTGGCCAAAAGGAGCAAAAGTCCAGCTGACATCCACTTGTGTAGGGGAAAAAAAACCCAACATCACAAATTAACACAACCCAAAACTTTCCTTTAATGTTGCAACTCAAGGCTTGAATTTTTTTCTTTAGTTCCTTCAGCTTAAAAAATGACAAGAGGTTATGGCCCTTTTGATTTTCAGACTCCAGTTCTTTGCACATTTCATCATAATACTTTGCTTCATCTTCCTGTGCTGCCCTTTGAAATCTTCTATACAGCTTCTTAACTTCTTGATTTCTTCTTTTTGCTTTAGCTTCTCTGTGCTTTAGTAGAAGATTCAGAGTCTCTTCTGACATCCATTTTGGTCTTTTCTTCTGTCTTTGTAATGACCTTTTGCACTCTTTATGGATGATACTCTTGATATCCTCCCACAGCTCATCTGCTCTTTTTTATTGTTATTGTTGATTTTCTTTGAGACAACCATGACTCATAGAGTCCCTATGAGCAAAAGTCCTGATGCCTTTTTATAACTATCGAATTTATCAAAGTTCATAGAGTTTACAGACTCATGTTGTTTAGGAAGTAGATACCACTCCTGCTTAGAATAAAATATTGCAAAGTTCTGAATAATTTTCACAATAGTAGACATGTCTGACCATTGCTACAGTTACTTGTCAATATATCTCATTGAGGATTTTTCTATTTTTAACTGACCTTTTATATTACCAAGCACAATGTTCTTATTACTCTTGGTAACATGTTCAATGTAAGTGAATCTTTGTTTTTGTTGACTTCAAAAATTTCCTTAATTCACATTTTTTACATTCCAGCTTTGGTTTACTAATGGATACTGGCAACTTTTATTCTCATTTTGAGTCATATTATGTCATCAAATTACATTCTCAAAAGCTTTCCTACATCCACATAATAAAAATTGACTCTACTTTGAGGAGAAAAGTCTTTCCTCCTCTAATTTTTAGTATTTTCTGACCAAAGAGACTTTCTTCTAGAACTGCATTTAAAAAACAAAATGTTCTGTTGTCATATTTCTTTAAAAATTCTTCTTTGTATGATTATTTAAGGTGAAAAAAAAATAAGGTAGCCAAGCCAATTTAATCTAGCCTATGACCATTAACATGCAACATGTTAATTTATATGTGTGTGTGTGTGTGTGTGTGTGTGTGTGTGTGTGTTTGCATGCATTTTCTATTTATAAATACTAAGTTCTAGCTGACCCAGGTAAATATGATTATGTGAGAGGAAATTTAAAAAATGCATTTTGGATTCTAGCTATTGTAAAATATAGGTAAAACTGCTCTGGTAAAAACCATTCAGAATTATGCTGTAGATGATACCTCTTCTTGTCTCCTTATATGATCTACTGGGGTTAATCATCCCTGTGTCCCACAGGTCTCTCTCCTGGGTATCAAGAAGTTTATTTTTTATATTTAACTCCAAAGAAATGTTTGTTCTTATTTAATATCTTGATAATTCCCTGATACAGACATTAGAAGTCAGAAAAAGATAAATGAAGGTTGAATTTTTCGTTTGCAGGGTCTTTTGATGAAGTGAAAAGAAGTTTAGCTTATGTGACTATTCTCTGTTGGATTTTTAGATTTTCCTCTTCAAATTTCATTTAATTTTTACTCTCTGTATTTATTTCATTTTATTCTTTGATTTTCTTTTATTCTTCATTGGGGAAAGCCATCTTGGAAATACTCAATGGAAGAAAACTAAATGTTAGATGTGGTAAAGTTTAAAGCATATTAATAATTGTCTGATCTTTTAAAACCTACATCCTGATGAATAAGTGTGTGATTCAAAACATGTAAGTTAAAAATTTTACAACATTTTTGAAAGGTTTGGAAGGGTTCTATCATGGTGAAGTGTAGACAGGGAAATAAACATATCACTTTATCACTGTATAAGGTCATGGTGAAACCTTTTCTTTGGATAATTCCTTATAGCCTTTCTTTGACACATTTGACTTACGTTTATCTTCCAAGGGTTCTTAATATCTCTAGGGAAAAAATAAGAAACCATTTCTTTTTAAAAATGTTGTGAGTTCAGGATCAATCTTCATGTTAGCACATTGCATAGCCATTTAACAGTGGTTTGTGAATGTATGAACTTTTCTATTTACCTAGCTTTTACTATCATTTTTTATAGGATGAAATACCAAGAAAATAAACAGCATAGAAATGCTATATTTATTTCAAAATGACAATGAATTCACTAATTAACACAATATCTTCACTGACTCCAAAAAGTCAATTGTGTTACAATAGGAATATATATGCTCAGTGGTAAAGCTTGCCACTGAAGTCACCAATCTACCTTAATGACATAGAAAACAAAATGACAAACTGCTTTCTGGCTATCTGAGCCTTCTTATTTCTTATTTTTCCCTTGCTGACTAGATGAAGTTTCATTATTCTATTGCTTTAAGAAGGTCATGGGTAGCAGTTGATAGAATGAATTCATATTGTGTTTTGTTAATGTTAGGTACCATTGAGTCAACTATGACTCTCATAGCAACACCATGAATAGAAGATCTGAAACTTGCCGCATCCTGCATCATTGTCACACTCTCTGACATGCTTGACCCCATGGTTGTAGTCATGGTGTCAACCTACCTCATTGAGAATCTTCCCCTCGTCTATTGATTCTGTACCTTTTCAAGAATGATGATGTCTTTTTCCAAGCACTGGCCCCTCCAGAAAACATGACCAACTTATGGAAGACAAAGTTTCACCACCTTTGTTTATAAGGAGAACTCTGGTTTCACTGTCTCCAAGAAAAATTTGTTTATTCTTTTGACAGGTTATCATATATTCAACAGCCAATTAAAAATGAGAGTATCTATTAGAAATGTTAGTTATAAGTGGATAAAAGCTGGCAAAGAAACACTATTTGAAGTTTAAACATTAGTTTGATTAGTAATACAATTTTACTATAGTGATATTTTATTATATCCTTCAGAAGTTGAATAAATTAGAGAATAAATAAAAAGTAATTAAATACATCTTTCTATAAAAGTGACTTTCTTTTTCTATCCTAGTTATGAAGTGTCAAATAATACATTTTTCATGACATTCCAACTCATGAAATTTTCTGAAGTTTGGTGGCAGCAGATCCTAACTGGTATGATATTTTTTCTAATTTTTCTAGTGTCCATTATTGGCAATCTCCTAATAATTATGCTTTCTATCTTTGACCAACATCTTCATACTCCAATGTACTTCTTCCTTAAACAATTGTCTTTCTTAGATCTCTGCTATATCTCTGTTACTCTCCCCAATGCCATTACAGACATCTGGACCAGCAGTAACTCCATTTCTCTCTTGGGATGCATGCTTCAAGTTTTCTTTGTTGTTTTCTTAGCCTGTACTGAAATGGCTTTGCTCACAGTGATGTCCTATGACCGCTTTATTGCCATCTGTCACCCTCTGCATTATGAAATCATCATGAATCCATGTACCTGTGTGAAGATGGCCATTTATTCATGGTTCAGTGGTGGAGTTTCTGGAATTCTCCACACAGCCACCACATTCTCTTTGCCCCTCAAAGCTTCCAATGTGGTTCATCAATTTTTCTGTGAGATCCCTCAGTTACTTAAACTCTCTTGTTCAGAGAAGTACTTTGCTGAAGTTGGGGCTGTTGCTTTCACATCATCACTGAGCTTTGTCTGTTTTGTCTCCATTGTCCTTTCCTATATTCACATTTTCTCTACTGTGCTGAAGATGCCAAATACTGTAGGTCAGTCCAAAGCCTTCACCACCTGTGTTCCTCACCTGGTTGTTGTGACTTTTTTCCTCAGTTCTGCTGCAGTGGCCTATTTGAGACCATCTGCAAGTATTCCCTCTATTTCAGACTTACTGGTTTCTGTGTTATATACCATTGTGCCTCCAACTCTAAATCCTATTATTTATAGTCTAAGAAACAAAGAAATGAAGACTGCTCTGAAAAAATATTTTAAAAGCAAATATTTTCGCTTTTTCACTTACTAAATATCTAGAGATAATGAAAATAAATTGAAAGTCTGGGGAAAATGTCTAATTAAGATCTCTGTATAGCTTTTAATCCTACAAATCACTTTGTTCATTTTTTAACACTCCAGTTTCTTCCATAATTCTCTTTTCTAGTCTAGTTGTTTCTATTTTCACAAAATACAACATTCTTATAATTTTTGTCCACTTATACTTTTTCTTCAAATACATATTATCGTCATTTCTTTATACAAATCACAAAAAAAGGGGAAAAGCAATATTTTCAAATTCAGAGAGAATGTATTAAATTTATGTAGATTGTTGTATACGGTTGAGTTGGAACTGACCCATAGCTCTTTTAGGATTTCAGAGGCAGTACATTTTATGAGAATGAGGATCACTCATGGCCTAGGGGAAAGGAGCTGTGCTGCAACCCCAGAGGTACACAGTTCAAATCCACCAGCTGCTTTGCAGAAAAAAAGGTGGATAATCTCTTCCTGTGCAATTAGCTGACTCTGAAAATCTGCCAGAGGGTCAAGGTCTTTTATGACTCAAGGTACAGAACAACAGCTAGTTGTTGAAAACAAGTTGCTCAAGGAGAGATTGTCTGTCTTTCTCCCACAGGGTAGCTAGTGGATTGAATTATTTATTCTTTATACTAAGTGAAAAGGATTATTTAAAATTATTTTGGGTGTAATGAAGGATAAAATGTAGGTGATCTTTGACATAGGGAAATGCCATTTTATCCAGAAATGCTGAAAAGCTGAATTTTATAATATATAAAAAAATTATAAGTTCTTTGAAAACATTGAATAATCAAATTAAAATTTTTTTTAAGTTCTGAGCATATTGTAATTTAGAAACCGTTTACTTTCCAGATGGGATTATCTCTTTTCAGAGAAAAAGGTGACAAAGAGGATGGCTATGTAGATGTCTACATGGAGAGCATTGTAGGCAAAGGGATTGTTGTGACAAATGACTTATAGTGTGACATTTCTTGTAGACTTAGTATATAGCAAAGTAGTCAGTAGAAAATGGTGGATTTTTCAAGGATGATAGTGGTATAAAATGAAGTCTTAAAAAAGGTGAATGGAGGGTACATAGTGGAGTGGACTTGGGCGGAGGGATTGTATAACAATGTAAGACTTTTTACTTTTCAAAGAGAAGAATGAACTAGAGGGGAGGGATGAGCAGGATGAAAAGTGCAACAATAAATGAATGGAAATCCAAAATCTCTGTAAATTTTCATTAAAATGAATAATAATAATTAAAAAGAAAATGAAAAGCAAAATAAAGGTGAATGGAATGGATCATATTTTTATTTTTTTTTAAGATTATTCTGAAATCTCCAAGTGGAATGGGGATTTTTCTGATTATTTTAGTGAAAGATAAAATGTCTATTTAGAATTGAATTTATTATGTGGTAATTGTGACATTGGGATTGAATGTGTCAGAAATTGTGAGGATGGCACTGGATAGGACAGTGTTCATTTTGGTTGTTCATAGTGTCACTGTGAGTCATGTTCAACTTTATACCGTCTAACAACAAATACCAATAGTTGCAACAATACATACAGAAGAGGTATAGGTCTAACAGAGAGGATGGAGTTGCTATCATACAAGCTGAGTTGGGAATATGTGTTTGGTAGTTTGAATATAGAAATCAGAGTTGGAAGTTTGGTGTTTGTTTTACACCCAACTCTAGAAATCAAATCACTTAGTCACTCATTCATTACCAACTCATAATTGATTCTCCAGTGGGTTTCTGCAGCTATAAACTGCTATAAAGGAGATTGTTCATCTTTCTTCTACAGGGTCATTGATGGATTCAAACATGACATAGGCATGGCCTTTGACTTAGTGGCAGAACTTCCTAAACGAAGTTAGAGATATATAAAGATAGAATCCAAAAGGGAAATCTGATGTAGTAAATAAACTTGAGATTCAATGTCATATTAATGGCATAAAAGCAAAGAGAATATATGAGTTTATTCAGGGTTACTTGATAAAGAAAAAAGAACAAATTTAATTCTGGGGTAGCCCTCATCTTAATAAGGTTGAAAAGAGAAAATAAATTTCCAGAGGTAATTTAATAACTGATGATTACAAGAGAAAACTAAGAAAAGATTCTATATTCATTCCAAGTAAAATAAGTGAAAATGGGATGGATGAGACCAAGAATGGAACTTTAGATATTACATAGATGACACTTTCTTTTTACAAGAACAGCATTATATGTTTTGAATTGTGTTTGCCAAAATAAATACTAAATTCCAGAACCCTGGTGCCTCTGAATCTGACCTGACTTGGAAATAAAGTTCTAGAAGATGCTAACAGTTAATGTATATTCAAATAGAGTAATGTATCCTCTAATCCAAGCTGAGTGATGTGCTTTTAAAAAGAAGAAAATCTCAGACACAGAGAAAACTGCATTGTGAAAACAGAGACAAAGATTATGTGCATTATGTACCACAGAGTTGGATTCACCTCATAACTCATTCCCCAGAGAGTTTTGATATACTGTAAACGCTGCAGGAAGAGATTGTCATACACAGAGAACTGTCAAGGGTAGCTGGTCATTATTAGAAGCTAAGATAGAAGTGTAAGACAGACTCTCCCTCAGAGTTTTAAAAAGAAATTAGCATGAACTGATAAACAGATTAACCTTCAGGACATGGATAGGTTTATTTTCTTATAAAAATAGAATTTATGACAGTTTGTAATAAAAACATCTTGGGTTTTGATGGTGGGGGGGTGGGACTGAATGCATAAATAAGTTAATAGAAAATCAAATTGAAATGAATTGAAAATTATCATTAACTCTTCAAAACATCTTGAATAATATGGGAAGTAGAAATTGAGCAATAGAGATAAAATTAAATGGGGTAAAATATATTTATTTTAAGTTAAAAAAAATAATATATACTTCTGAGTGCTAATAACAGTTCAGAAAAATAGAGGAAAGTGGTTATAGTGTATAAGGTGTTGAGTTGTTCTCCTAGATTGAATTGTGTCCCCTAATACATGTGTGTAATTATATAATGTGGAATTTGTATAATGATATTTCATTATTAACCAAATAATTTTAAAAGGATCAAGAATGGAATGAAACATCACTTAATCCTGTCACAGTTCAAGTCCTATATATGTAACAGGAGTTTTTGTAGGGTATGTTTTATAGTTCCTTTTATCGCACTGTCAAGAAAAGAAAAAGAAAGCAAGCCAAAAGCCAGATAATTCTAAACCATCAAGAAATAACTGCTATAAGTGGAGAACATCTATTCAGACCAAGTCTTCACACATGGAAGTTCCTTGGCACAAGAAGGTCAAGACACATGAGCATATCCAAGGACATCTCACCTATGTATGTTAAAGGAAACAGGAATTTTCCTCCATAACTAATATACAGAGAAAAATACCTTAATCTAAAGCTGGCACTATTAATTTGGACTTCTAACCTCCTAAACTCTAATAAACACTAAAAACTAAAAAACTCTAATAAAAACTCCTAAAGTGAATATTTTGTTTGTAGAAGTCATCTAGTTTCCATTGTGGTATCTGTACTAGATAACTAAGACAGTTGATAACTAAAACATTGGTGCCTTGAACCTACCACTCACTGCATGGGAGAAAGATGAACAGACCATACCTAATTAATTATCAAAAAGGAAAATGAAAAGTATGAGACATACTATCACTGAAGTACATCAAAACTTGACAAATATGCTATTAACTCAGTGTTCATTGACAAAAGACACATTAATTGACTACTCTAACAGACATGGTACTCTCAATTAATGAAATTGCCTTAATCTATAAGTAATCTTGAAGCAATTGCAACCAGAATGCTCTTTGGAAGCTAGAATAGCGAGACTCTGCCTCTATTCTTTGAGTACGTTGTCATATGTGCCAGTATTCAGAAAAATAACTTTATTGTTAGAGAAGTAGAGAGTCAATGAAAGAGAAGACAATTCTCAATGACATGGATTAGCACAGTGACTGTTGTAATGGGCTGGACCATGGTAGGTATTGTGGCAATCACACAGGAAGGGATAAGGTCTCTATTTGTTATTCATAAGGTTAATTGACTAGAAAACATCTAACAAAAGCAAAATTAAAACTGTGTTAAAGTAGCTTTAAAATTAGTTTACTGCAATAATAATTTAAAGAAACTTGCTGGTGCAGTGACTAAGCACTTGGCTGTAATGTCAAAATATCAATGGATGGAATCTACCAATCATTCCAAAGGAGAAAGATATGGCAATCTACATCAGTGCTATTGAGCCCTAGAGACTCATAGTGACCATCCAAGACGTTTCCGAATTTGAGATCTTACTAGGCAGAGACTTACATGCTTCTTTCAAAGAGCAAACAGTAGATTTATATGATGATCTTTTGGTTGACACACTATGTTCCAAGTGAAAGGTGGTGTTTTTTTTTGGGGGGTGGGGTTTGGGGGCTTTTGTTTTATAAAGGAACAAATTAAAAAAAAAACCTAAGGAAACATTGTTTTGCAATTGGAACCAACTCATAGCTGGCCCTCTAATGGGTTTTTGCAGGTTGTAATCACACTAAAGAATTTTTCCCATTGCCCCCCTTACCTAGCCTCTGTTGGATTCACACCAATATACAAGTGATGTCTTTGAGGTAACAATGTAATTCCTTATGGACTATGCAACCAGTGTTCATATAGCTATATGATAGCTAAGTGGAAGTATATCAATATACTCAGAGTTTTACCCATTGTCACTGAGCTGATTCTAATTTACAGTAACACTGTAGTTTTAACAATACCTCTTGTTACAGATGTAATGTATATTGCAAATGCTTCCATTATATTTTCCTATAATATTCTGTTGTAATTATTTTGTATGTAGTTAGGATTCATTAATTAGCAAAATCAGATCATTGGCTTTCTTCATTCTTATATTCTTATTAAACTATTAATCTGTCTGGTGTTTGGGATCTTACAAGTTACTGTGTGACCACTGAAGTAAAAAAGTTTTCTCCCAACTGGAGGGAAAATGAAGAGAAGTTAAGGAACCAAAATGAATCTTTTACACTGAATGTTGTAATTGTTATGTATAATCAAATCAACTTCTAGTGGATCCTCCAGAGGGTTTTCAGGCATGAGAAAATTGGTTATCTTTCTTCCATGAAGCAGCTGGTGGATTTGAACCACCTCTTTGGGTTGGCAGTGTAACTCCTTACCACCAAGCCATCAGAACTCCCACAGAAAGTAAATGATGCCTGTAATTAGAAAACACTTATACGATGCCCAAGCACCCCTTAATTGATTAAAGATTCTAAAAGAATCATGATTGGTAGGAAAAAGATATCAAAATAAAACAAACTTAAGAACAAATATCTTACTTTGATTTTAAGGAATTTTCGTATTCAGAAACCTGAAGGTATTTGAGTGAAAATTGAACTTGCCTGAGTAGTGTTCCTATACTGTTCTTTCCACCCAGAGTTGTTGATTGGCTTTCCAGCCTAGTTAAAGTTGTTTTCCTTTTGGCTTAAAGAGATCATGGAAAGCAGTACTTACAGGTTTAATTAAAGAGATATATTTAAATCTATTTAAATTTCAAATTTACTATAGCTGCAAGTGTATTGAAGGCTAACATTTTTGTAGTCATACCTGCTCTCCCAGGCCAGGTGATTTACTACCTCTGAAAACCTCCCCAAGGGTCTGCTACCGATTGGTTCCCACTCTATAGCTAACAGTAACAACAGAGCTACTGGTATCAGCTGATCTCAGTAAACAAAAAGTCACCCAGGTTCAATCAAGCAAGTTAAGATTGTTGTTATGTTCCATCAAGTCTTCTTTAACTCACAGCGACCCTAAGGACAATAGCTCTGAACCCTGCCTGTCCTAACCTGAAACATTCTCACTGTTTCCAACATACCTGCTTTAGTAGTCTTGTGTCAAGACATCTCATCCAAGGTCTTTCTCTCTTGTGTTGTTCCTCCATCCTTCCAAGCA